AGAGTCAGCACAGGGAAGAATCTGGAAGGGAGCCTAGGCCCACGCCCCAGCATCCCTCCCAGGGAGCCACACGGGGTCCTCCGCTACGGGCTGTGACGACACGTGTGGAGTGGTGTCCACCAGGAGGTCATCAGAGGCCCAGAGCCCGGGGCTTTTGTTGGGGCTGGTCACGTAGGCCCCTCTGCGTGGCGGGGGCCAGGCTGCAGGCCCTCAGGAGGTCGTGGGTATTGGGCGCAAAGCGCCCTGACTGCACGGGGGCAGCCGTGGAGCGGTGGGACGACTCCTGGAATCCCGGGCCAGCCTCGGCAGGCGGCCTTCCCAGCAGGGCGGCCCGGTCTGCCGGCTGCCCCCTCTGCACAAAGACGGGCTCATGTTACGTGCAGGCAAGCTTTGGAGTAAGTGGAGTTTTGCAGGGAAAAAAGAAGTCCTGTTAAGCATATTGGAAGCACTTTACAAATACCTGGTGATGAAATCACAAGGGGGAGAAAGGTCTGAGGCCAAAGTTTTGAGAGGAAAACCCAAGCAGAATTTGCAGGAGCGTTTCCCGGCGTGTCTGCGCTCCGGGGCTGGCGCGGGCGCCTGTGTTGTGCCCCAGCTCTGGCCGAGCGGGAAGCCCCCGGGCAGCGAAAGGGGGAGACCCGGGGGCGCGGAGCTGGAGGCGGCCCTGAGCCTGTGGACGCCTCACCCCGCAGACGTGAAAATGAAGCCCAAGGGGCGAAACCGCTCCCGTGTCCTCCCCGTGCTCGGCTCTTAGCATCGCCCCCCAGTACAGCCGCCAGGAGGAAGGCACCCGCAAGGGAGATGTTAGTGCGTCCTGCCGTGTTTATCCGGATTTTAGACCCGTTTCCTGTTACCGCTTGCTGCGGGCACACCCTGCGCGGACGCACCAGAGGGACGCGGTTGGCTGGCCTGCTCTGTGTCCTCTCTGACAGAGGATGCGATTCCATCTTGGCCGGGCTCCAGACCCTGTCATTTCATACGCAAAGTCCAGCAGTGTTTCAGCTCCTGCCAGGTGTTTGTGCCTGAGAGTCCGAGCTCAGACTCTGGACCAGGTCTCGTGTTCAGTCCCAGCCGTTTGAGCAGAGACTGGAAATTGCTTCTCAGTTTCCTCATCTGTAAAATGGGGGCAAGAGTCCCACCTCCTAGGGTGGTTGTGGGCGTCAAGGAGACACCGGATTTCGCTGACTCTGCAAGGCCGACGTCCACCAGGACCACCAGCACACACGCGTTCGAGCAGTTGTGGAATCGGGACCAACGCTGATCACACCTTATAGTCGATGCCGTGTCAGAGGTCAGGTGGCAGTGTTTTTCTTTCTCGCTGGTCCGTTCAATAACGGTGCATCTTAAAATCGATGGCGTCGTAGATCCAATAAGATACTATAAAAAGCAGGCAGCACTTAACACAGTGCGGCAGGAGGCAGACGTTCGGGAAGCTTAGCCGTTATCACGGGGCCTCTCCTCCAGGAAGGGGGTCAGCTGGCATTCATCTGGTGCTCTCTGTGTTTAGGTGTCTAATTGTCAGAATCCACAAGGCAAAGTTTCTCACCCCCATTTACAGATGAGGAAAGCAAGACTTGGAACGTCCACCCGCACTGAGGAAAGGGCAGACCCAGGAGTCTGCAAGCCACAGCCGCTGGCCACGCCCTACGTGGTTGGTGAAATGTGGGTGGTTGTTACATTTTTTACAAGTCGTGAAACATCAAAGGAAGAAGAATATTTGGCGACGCGTGAAAGTTGTAAGAAATTTGAGTTTCAGCGTCCATCGGTAGAGTTCTGTTGGATGTGGCCCTGCCCGCGTGGTTACGGGCAGGCTGGTCCCGACAGAAACACGTGGCCCACAGCACCTGAAACATTCACCGTCTGTTCTTGGCCCACTGACCTGTGCCTGTCGGAGGAGAGTCTCGTTCACTTCTTATCTTCCACGCTTAGCAGGCACTCAGTCAGCGGCGGCTAAATCGAATTTCTGTCATCGGTCCTCAGTCTAGAGAGTAAATCTGAAGTCGGACTGGTGACCAGGGCACCAGATAAACCTCGAAGTGAAATGCTCATCACAGACCCTCCAAGACACTTTTCCAAATGAGGTCACATTTGTGTTGCAGTGTCTCTTAGGCAGTAAATAAAATTAAGTGACTCCCTGAGGACAAGGCCACAGTCCTGGGTGAGGAGGTCCCAGGTGGGAACTGTTTCCAGGAAACCGAACAGTTGGCTTCGTGCATCAGCTCTTGAAAGGCCCACAGTGCAGAGAAGAACCCAGCACAGCTTGGGGGGCTCGGCTGTCCAGAGACCCTGCAGCAGTTGAGGGGAGACGTGGGTCCAGGATGTCCCGCTTTGAAGGCCCTGCTGGTTTCAAAAGATCGATCAGGTTAGTGACACTGAGCCAGGTTCAATGTCCCCTCCCCATTAGATGTGTACACGGCCCCAAGCGTGGACGTGTCAAGGTCACCGGGGAACTTGCTCAACCTGGAGTTTGAGCCAGCAGTCGGGCAGGCGGGCCTGCTGTCCAGTGAGCGGGGAGCCGCACGGCCTCGGAGTCCAGGACGGAGTTGCCCAGGGTGGCTGCTGCCACAGGTCTGGGCCAGCTCTGCTGCCTGGCACCCGGGGAGCTCTCCCACCCCGACATGGCTGTCTCTTGAGCCAGGGTCCCAGGGAGGGTCCCACCTGGGCAGAGGAACCTTCGTGAAGTCAGAACCAGGAGTGGGGCCCTGCCCTTGGAGGGTCGCACACACCCCTCCGCCCCCGTGGGACTCGGAGTTCCTCAGGGGCCATCTCACAATTCCTCCAAACACGTTTCAGCGTTTACACTGTCTCGCTGAACAACTTCCGTTGAAGTCCTCCCCCAAAAAGCTTAATTTTATTTTATGTTTTAATATTTAAGAGCATTTTAAAATTCCCAACAAACACTGAAAGAATTTATAACATTGATATGCCTCGTTTGTCCCTTTGGCTTTTAACATTTAATAATTTTAATATAATTTGACATCAAATTTTTTAATATAATTTGAAGTTAAAGCACTTAACTCTCCCATCTTTCTTTTTACTGAAATATAGTTGATTTACAGTGTTGGTTTCTGGTGTACAGCATAGTGATTCAGCTACACGTATATATTTTCTTCTCCAGATTCTTTTCCATTATGGGCCATTACAAGCTATTGAACATAGTTCCCTGTGCTACACAGGAGGACCTTGTTGTTTATTTTATATATAGTAGTTAGTGTCTGCAGATCCTGAACCCCTAATTTGTCCCTTCCCACCTCCCTTCCCTCCTGATAACCATAGTTTGTTTTCTATGTCTGTGAGTCTGTCTCTGCTTTGTAAGTAAGTTCATTTGTATCATTTTTTTTAGATTCCACATTGAAGTGATATTATATGATATTTTTCTTTGTCTGACTTACTTCACTTAGCATGACAATGTCCAGGTCCATCCATGTTGCTGCAGATGGCATTATTTCATCCTTTTTTATGGCTGAGTAGTATTCTGTTGTGTATATATACCACAACTTCTTTATCCAGTCATCTGATGGTGGACACTTAGGTTGCTTCCATGTCTTGGCTGTTGTAAGCAGTGCTGGTATGAACACTGGGATGCATGTATCCAAAAAAGCTTAATTTTAAAAAGATTTCTTGCATTCCTAGACGTGGTTAACCACCTTCAGTTTTGTAAAGAAAGTCAGTGGGAAAGTTTAGGGGAAGAAATCCCCAACCAAAGCATTTTAAAAAATGGAAGCATGGATTCCATAAAGTGAAGTTCAGTGGAGTACGTTACAGTCCACGCTCTAAAAGTCGTTCTAATAAAATTGGATCTATTATCTTATAATCTGCCATTTTCCTAAAAGAAAGGTGGGATGTTAACAAATGTTAATCATGGTTGCTGTGGACTGAGTTTGTCTTTTTTCTCTTGAATATGGAGGTGTACTGGTATGGGATGGAAATTTCCACAAGAGAAGAAGTTAGGCTTAAAATACATTTTAAAAAACCCTTTTCTAACGTGGAAGTAATATTGTCTAAACACAAGGACGTTTTCAGTGTGAAGCATTTCAGCAGTCTTTGGGCTAAAATGCTTGTGGAGACTAGCCCAGGGCCCCTAAAACATGTGGCTTCCAATGGAGAACCTCGACATATGTCTGCTCCATTATTTCTAATGAGCCAGTCACACATCGATGCCTGGAAAACACCTGTGAGGTGGGTGTTGCGTTGAACACAGGGTTGCAGGAGATGCACAAGGAGGCGATGGTGATTTTTGAAGCCCTTTTTGTCCTTCTGCTGCTGTTGTTTTCTTT